CAGTCCCAGATTGAGCCACTGTACAGCTTTCATGTGACTCTTGTGTCCATTAAAAAAATTAAGCAGACAAACACCCCTATTCCCCTTAGCCTCATAGCCTATCGGTGGAAAACTACCCAGGGCCCCTCTCAAAGAAAAATTCCAGATATGGACATGTTTACATAGCTACCAGCTTGGAGCCCTCTTGATCCAGCACTGTGCCCATCTGCAGCAGCACTGCTCCTTCTTCCTGTATTCTCAGGAGGCTTTCACAACAGTGGGAGCCATTGGCTTCTGTTGCTGTCAGTCAAATCCTGTTAGGAGGGAGCAGAAGTGTGGCCAAGCTGTGTTGTGTGTCTATAGACACACACAGCCCTGTTTGGAAGCACAATCGCAGGAGTGCCAACAAAGCTGCTAGCTTGCTATAAGGATACTTAGAGAAGAGGAGATAGCACCGGTGGGAGACTTTAGAAGAGAAGGTAAGGAAATGCTCTGTGCAATACCATTGCACAGAGCAGGTAAGTAGAACATGTTTAATATTTTAAGAAAAAAAAATGTATCCTTTACCGTGTAGGCACACGTCTTTGCCATGTAGGCACACTTCCCATGCTGTCTTTTTAAAGACCTCTGTTAATTCTGAGGCAAATCAGTCCTCATACCGAGATAGGGAGAGTGGGCAAATGTTATCTAGTTTACCATAGGAAAACTAGGCAGGGATGACAACACTGCTTGGAATTTAATTGCAGCACAGGCAGTGTTGCCTGCTTAAAAAGCTGACTAGATTTCTGGCAGAACAGATAATTCTCTGTATTTGTAAAGGGATAAAGCAAAAACAAAACGCATGCAGAAAAAATTTCACGTATTGCAGTAGTGTACAATTGTTATTTTACCCTAGAGATCTTTGTCTGTGGACTTAAATTTTCCTCCTTCTGGAGTGCTTTTCTCTATACATTCCCATTGGGGAATCCAAAAGAGAATCCGTGACTTATTTAAAAAAATAAACAAATAAAAAGTGGAGTTCAGTGTTAACAAATGCAGCTTTGTCAGGCAAGGCGTTGTGTAATAAAGCAGCATAAAATGCCCAAGTTTAAACCATGGCCTTTATTGATGCTCTTTCAATGAGCGCTGTTTACATACACACATCTTCGTTGTTTAAGAAAGACAGAAAAAAGTGCATATTACAGGAGTACTTTCTGGATAACCCCCCTGGCAGCGGAGAGGTTATATTATCTGTGCTGGAAAGAAACTCACAAATTCACAATGCAGCAAAATGAGTGAAAAAAAACAAAAAAACAGTTCTTCAGTAAATTCAACCCATTGCTAGAATTCAGCTTAAATTATTAGCTCTTGTGAACAGTTTCCTCGTGTGTACAAGCCAGAGTTGTTTCTGTTCTCTGTACAATTCAGCCAAAAACTAGTTTCAGGGGCAAAACTACAGGTCATTTTTAGTTGGGTAAGCAAAAACTACCCACAGTTGCACACGGAAAAGATCAACTGTGGCTCTATGCACTCTATGCAGTGAGCTACAAGACACGTGTGACCACAATCAAAGCAGGGCAACGTTTCCATTCGGATGGAACAAGGCGAGATGGACACAGTGTGTGTTAGGGTGATGTTCCAGTTGAGCCACTTTGCTGTCAGGACCTACCATGGTAATGAGTAAATAAGCAGCCTTGGCCTGAATATTCCATACTTAGGCCACAAAGAAGAGATAACCTGCATGTGTACTGAGCTGCACAGCACACTCAGACCAAGTGCATGGGGTGCCACAACATCTGCCAAGCAACCCTTTATAAAATGAAAAAAAACAAATAAAAACATTGCACTGCAAATCTGCCCCACACATATGTGAACCCATGCTCAAACTTTTTTTTTTTCAAAGAGTCTGGTTCGATTTTTTCAGCGGTTCAGGTGTGATTCCAGTGAGAATTGTTAAGTGTATGACATTGGAAATCGCACCTGAAACGGACTGAAAACGGCACAGGACTCTTCTACAAAAATTGCACTGTGGTCAGCCCGCGTATATGTGAGCAGGCTCCACAGTAAACCCTTTTGATTCACATGGCATACGATTCGGAGCGTTTCAAACACATCCGAATTCACATATATGTGAACTGGGACTTAATCATATATCAGCTATTTAAATTAAGGCAACGACCTCAGCACACGGCTGTATGAAGTTTTTAGCTGAGGGCTTGTTCACCCATACTGCACAGCAGTAACACGTGCGGAACTGTGCACTGTACCACCATTCATTTACTATGAACAGACAGCCAATACACATACACCATGCATTTGCGTTACGGCGCACACAGCAGATGTGAGATGCTGTTTGTGGCGATTAAAAACAAAACATAAACCAATCTGCTAGAGTGATTTTCCTGTATTGAGGCCCATTCAAAGGAAATAGACTGTCATAACACAGTGTACCTCAACACACAAAACAGCATGTTACAACACATGCATTATAGTAATAGTGTACTAGACGTAATGGCCCCCTGAATGTTCAGTGTCACCCTCTGTAGTGAATTCTCCATATTTACTTACAAGCCACTAAACAATGCAAGTGGCAAACACTTAAGCTGGGTATACACATACTGAAATTTGGCTGGCTCACCAGGAACCTGCTAAATTGTGGCCCTTGTGTACCCCTCTCTGTCCAACAGAAGATGGGTGTTAGACCAGCTTCTGTCAAACAGTCCTACTGGAAAAACAGCATTTGATCAGCCCCCTGCAACCAATGGCTCATAGCGCTGATCTGTGTATTCTGATGCAATACAGGGAGAGAGATCCCTACATTCACATCACTTGTGTGGATTTAGGATTTGTGAGTTTTTACTTTGTTCAACCCACTAGTTGAATAAAAAAAACTCAACATATATACCCTGCTTTTATTTTCCTCCAGTGGAATCCTGATCAGGATAATTGAGGAATTCACTATAGCTAGTAACAAAAGAAAGCTCAGTGGAAAAGCCAAGACTTAATTGTCACCATTACTCGACGAGGAGTCCCCTCATGGAGTTCTAGACTACTAATGATCCCCACCCAACTTCACCCATAGTGGATACATTTGCCTTGGGGTAGTGCTCTGCTGCTTGCATGATTAATCACATTACTGCGCAACGAAGAATTGCTGCCAGTGTCTTGTGACCAACCACACAATTTATACCAAGAGGCAATGAATGTTATATCCTGCAGAAAAAACTGCAAATTGTGCAACAGTTTGCAATGATCTGTAAAAGCTTTTTAGCAAGCCACATTTCATTGTTACTTATTACAAAGCTTTTGGTTGGGCACGTGGAAGCCTTAGAAACCTCAACACAAGGATCTAAAACTTGCTTTTGTGGAAACACCCTGTTTTGTAGCTCATTCCATAGAATCCCAATGTCACTGTGTTTGGTGGTCACAAACAATCCTTGGTCACATGGGTAGAAAAACTAAAATTCCCTTGCGGTTTAGTCCCAAGACTGATGAAACAGATAAAAAGTAGAAAAGAAGAAACAAAAAAGTACTCATCTTTGATGTGATGCCAAATGCATTTACATTGATCATAAATCTAAAATGTATGTATTTAGCTGGCTCCCCCAATATATGACCTATTCAGGTATCTCAAGGAGGAATTTGAGAAACACTGGTCTAAAGAGAGAATCTACATTATTCTACAGTATATTAAACACAGAAGAAAAGGGGTTAAAAACCCTTTTAATGTACAAATATGAATAAAAAATTGATTAAAAAAATCACTTTTGTACATAATGTATATGCAAAAACTCTTTAAATACAGGCATCAGGAAAATCTATTTACAATATGTCTTAGTCTATGGAATGACCCACAGTCTCTTACTGTAATGCTGAATCTCAACAACTGGAGATAATCCTTTCCTCAATAGTTAGAGAAAAAATATAATTCGGCAGTATATTAAACCGAGGAAAAAAAAAAATGAGCTACATAATGCATTAAAAAATAGAAGATAAAATGGAGAAAACTGCCAAATGACAAAAAAAAAAAAAAAACTAACATTTTTTACAATGTTGTAGAGCTGAGCAGAGAAGATTGTGTTTAAGAGCTACATTTGTATTGGAAAAGAGAACTAAGCTAGACCCTTCTCTTATTTTTTTTTAATTTTATTAATATTTTAAAAAATACATAAAAATACAACATCCAATGTCTGAATAAATATATTTAACAAGTTGCAAGATAATACCTTATTTTACACAAAAAAAATTTCAGCTTTAGAAATCTTGTTAAATAAGTTCGCTGTTGTCATATATTTTCTTTTTGTCTTTTTTGTAACAAAATAAAAACTCTGAAATTACATAGAAAAAGACAAAATATATTTGCAAAGGGATAATATAGTTCACTGAAAACCTATTCACAATTCCACTGTAAACATTAATAAACATTTAAAATAGTTGCATAATTCTGTGCTCTAAATTCTTGTAAAAAAAGTGGAAGACTATTTTTTTAAATGTAGTTTTCAGTCCACTACATTCCCTTTCACAATTTATTTTGTCTTGAGTACAGCTTTAAAACTGGGCACTCTGCTGAACACATTGAACTTTGGCAGTTTTTCTATATATTGCAAGTGCTTTCAAAAACAAACACTAGGACATCCCAGCAGCTGTTAAAAAAAAAAGTGCAGCCACTGTTGTAATTTATTGACTTTTTCTTCTTTTTAAAGAGCACGGTCATTGGTTTTATGCACTTGCATGTTTTCTTGTACCGGGCCAGAGAAGGAGATATTATATAGGGGCTCCTGAATTTTTTATTCAGACATTTGTCAAGAAGCCATTGTGGCATACCGAATGCTAGTCTCCTATTCCTAATTAAATATTTGATTTAATAAGAATAAAAAAAAAATGAAATGGAAGAAAAAAAATGCAATCCAGCAGAGGAAATTTGGAAAGAAAAATTCTTGGCAATGTCAGACCAGATGAGTGCTTTGCGTGGTGGGATTAAAGGGGAGAGGGGATAAGTGTCCATGGCAGCGATTGCTGAGAGAGGAAGGTGAGGTCGTATATCACCTGCACTCTAAAGCAAGCGTGTTTTGTGGGGGAGAAGACGAGGAAGGGCTCATTCCGGTTTCTGAAGATGCTGAAGACATTGATGCTCCTGTGTTAGAAACTGTAAAGAGAAAAAACACAGTTGCTTAGGTTTCCACTAAAATACACAGAAACAAATTTTAAACTTTGTGTGAACTTATATGAAAAATGGCTTTGGAAAAAAACTATGTAAAAATACCATACAACTTGATTTGCTTTCTCATGCCTAGATTATTGCAACAGATTGTCTTAGTTTCCTTTGTCATTAAATGTATTTGTTACCAACATGACAGAGTGGAGAATTTACTGGAGCAGCAAGAATCCAGAGCAGCTGGGCATGGCAACCATACAGCTTCTACCTTTCATTTTCAAAGCGTAAAGCGTTGTTTACATGAGCTCTGCCCTCTGAAGTGTAATCACTTTTCAGTGGGCATTTGACAGGCAGTAAGGTGGTGCTGTGATGCTTCCTCAGCACCTGTGTTGACCCCTAGAATCCCACATGCAGTACACATGGTTGCAGCCTGGCCACATTCTGGAGAAGAGGAGATAAAGGGGGGATATGATCAATCAACATGTGTAAATACATCAGTGGTTCATATAGGGAACTCGGTGTAGAGCAGGGGCGGACTGACCATTCGGGCACTGCCTTGGGCCCGGGGTCAGTAGGGGGCCCCATGAAATGACCCTGGTACCTTTCATGGGTGTGCTTTGAGTGTGGGCAAGGACACAGGGGCCCCATGATCCCCTATTGCCCGGGGGCCCCATAAGTTGTCAGTCTGCCCCTGGTGTACAGCTATTCAACCTGAGGTCATCACAGAGGACACGGGGGCACTCTTTACATCTGGAGGAAAAGAAATGTAATCTCCAAACACGGAAAGGTTTCTTCACAGTGAGAGCTGTGAAAATATGTAATAGACTCCCTCAAGAGTTGGTTCTGGCCAGCTCAGTGGATTGCTTTAAAAAAGTCCTGGATTATTTCTTAGATACACAGAATATAACTGGATACTAACATTTATAGGTAATGTTGATCCAGGGAATATCTGATTGCCTCTCAGGGGATCAGGAAGGATTTTTTTTCCCCTGCAGGAGCAAATTGAATCATGCTTTGCTGGGATTTTTGCCTTCCTCTGGATCAACTGTGAGTATAGGATTATAACTTTCTTTTTAATAGTTGAACTGGATGGACTTTTGTCTTTTTTCAGCCAGACTAACTATGTAACATTCATATGAACAAGTTGTGTTTGGTGAGTTGTATTGCCCACTACACACTACAGGTTCTACATTGTCTTCTCAAGTTTTGGTAAATTCCCTGCACAATGAAAACTGCAGAAGAAATTGGTATTATCTACAGACAAATCTTCAATATTTTTACTCTAGTCAAATTAATAAATGTGGCAATATTTTTGTACTAGTAAAGGTGTATCCGTTTATTAAAGACCTTTGTTACGAGGATCGCAGTGATAGGTATCTCTTCTGTCCATTGATATGACAAAATAGTAATAACTTGGATTATAAAATTTAAAACGGAGTACAGCATTTTGATGGAGCTGTATGGAGTATGCAATGTACTGCACATTATATAAACATGGGTCCTTGTCTTAAAGTGGCTGTATCCACTAAAGTGACTGGCCTCAGGTGATGCACAAAGATTACCAAATCCTCCTACATAAGTTGTACCTGATTTTATGCAGCCCTTTCCCCTCTACAACTGTTCAAAACACACAGATCAAAGGCTACGTCTCAGCTCCAGGTGGCAGGGGATGGGGATCTGATGTCACACACTGCACAGCTAGAGGGGCTGATTGTAATCAAAGACCGGAGTAGAGGGAACAGAAACCCCCCCCCCCCCCCCTAAAGATCTCCTAACAAATCATGCAGAACTGAGGCAGTCAATCACCTTCTCTGTGCTGGAAGGGATCATGAGTGCTCTCTCCAGGATTCTGTGGTGTCAACAAGAACTGTCAGAAGGGACTTGTACAGATAGCAGAAGGAAGAGAGAGCAGGCAGAAATCACACTAAGTGCTTTGGACTGAAGTACACACTATAGAAGGATATGTTTTGTTCATGTTTAAAAGTTGTTCAGAGCAACTTTTAAACTTTTCACAAACATCAAAACTTTTTGCTGTATTAAATCTGGATGCTCTGTTAGATCTCGATGTCTCCCCTGCCCTTCAAAGCAGCTGATCAAACACAGATCATGTTTGATCAGATGCTTTCCTGGCTGTAACAGTCAGAGAATGAGAGCTCTGAAACAGAAATGACAAAAACCTCCTCACTTCTAGCTTTGTCAAAGAGGAGAGCAGGGAACGGACGTTCCACCATCTTCTCCACGGGAAGCCATCCCCAGCTTCCAGGAGGAGAGCCGCAGCCATGACCCTGATATTAACCAGATGCTGCGACTTCTAAATGTAACTCGATCAGCACATGGTTAAAGAAAAATTATTCTACGTGGGAAGGGTAGCAATATTTCCTAGAAACAAAACACTAAGGCCTAAAAAGCCTTCTACATTTTAAAATAAAAAACACTCTCTCTCTATCGATCAATCAATCTAAAGTATACCATTAACAAGAAAAGACAAGGATAAGAAACACCAAAATATCTGCACAAAACACCTTCATACAGTATGTAATAGATTTACTTAAATTTAACTACAAAACAATAAAAGCACTAAAAGCGGACATGGGCTGAATAGAATGGTGGTGGTGGGGGGGTTAAGGTATCAAAATATTTACCGAGAAAGATTAAATAAAATGAAAATCTCACCTTCGCGGTCTTTCTTTTTTAACCGTTTCCGTCGTCTATCTATTGTGGCTACTTCAGACTTTAAAGACATATAGTATTTTCTGATTTCTTGTAATTTGTCTTGGAGGAAGCCTATCCTCTCTGTGCCAGACATATTCTCTAATTCATCTGTTGGGACAAAAATACAAATATGTTATGGTACATTTGTGGAATATCAGAGCTTATGCTGTAAAATTTCAGGATTAACTGCTCCACAGTGCCTGCAGCTACCAAAGATCAAAGTATAAAATATCCGAAGCATGGCTACAGATTCACTTTAAAGTCCACCCAGCCTAGCAACTTACATGCGTCAATTTGTTCATAAAACAAATGTAAATTCTACACAAATATACCGAAATCCTCTCTTATGCAATTACAATTACTCAACCAATCAATCAGTTTAAACGACATTCCCAGTGAAATACTGCATCACAGAACCTCAACAAAGCAAAGCTTTGCATATACTGTAAGCCCTCACTACAATGTCAAACTGAGCATGAAATAAAGCAGTATATAATAATGGATAGTTAGACACCTCATTACCAGTGGCATGCCAATAAATATGCATTCATAGAGAACCCTATGTCATTGATAATGCACTCCAATACTTTGAGCTTGATGCTACTTGTCTAGATGCCCCGATTTCTTCTTCATGATCTTAATCCTTTTACTTATTACTAGGCATTGTCTATAAAAAAAGAGTTGAATCCAAATTATAAATCAGCCTGGGATGAGTTGCAGAATAGTCACAATGTAGGTCTAAAAGTGCATCAAAATTGCACAGCAGCAAGTGATTTAAAGAGGTTCTGAAGGCTTTTACATTTATGCATTCTATGCATGAAGATAAATAAAACCTTCAGAGTGCAGCTCCCCCCTCAACACTTACCTGAGCCTGATCTTGATCCAGCGATGTGCATGAGAGTAGAGGCTCTCCCGGGTCTCTGTCTTCTCACTGTCTGAGACACAACACCAGGAGCCATTGACCCCCACTGCTGTCAATCACAACCAGTGCAGAAGGAGTGAGCTCGGGAGACAAAACGCACAAGTGCCCCCAAAGCAAGCAGCAGGTGGGAGGAGCCAGTGGGGGGAACACAAGAAGAGCAGGATCAAAGCTGCTCTGTGCAAAATCACTGCACAGAGCAGGTAAAGTATAATATGTTTGTTATTTAAAAATAACACAAACAAAAATAAAACCTTTGTACCTTTGCAATCACTTTAAGGAAATGGATCCCTATTACTCTGAGACTTTTGACATAAATGCATGTTTTTATTAACAGGATTATTTATTTGAGCAGATTCAGGTCATTGTTATAATTCTGAGCATGTTGTATAATTCTTCATGCAACCTGATTAAACTCCATTTGAAGTAGTTACATGTTATGGAATGAACTTTACATTTAATGAGATTATTAAAATCAAAGCGATCAGAGGAGCTTTAAGGGAACCGAGACAAAATTTGATGGCCACTTTTTTCCGACTTGTTTATGGAACAAACATGTGCCTATCAAGTGTCCAAATTATGTACGTGTTCCAGGTTAGTGGTTCATCAAGAAAATTAGAATGCACAAGGATGACTGCTTGGCAGCATGCTACATTAACCGCTTCCTGACTGCCCTATAGCAGAAATACAGCAACAGGGCGGCATGGGTGCGCAAAATCACGTATGTACACATGATTTTTTCTATTTCCGGATAGGGGGCGTGCATGCCCTACCTGCGTCAACATTCACAGCCGTCAATCACCGGGTCCCGGCAGGTCATTACCTGCCATCACCTGGCGATTACCAAACATCTCCGACAGGGAGGAGGACTGTTTTGTTTACACTGCTTTGGATGGCTGTGCACAGCAAAGCCATCCAAAGCAGTGTGCTTAAAGTGAAGCACACTGACACGGCCCCCTAAAAAAAAACAATCCCTACACACAGTTAACCCTTTGATCACCCCTCATGTTAACCCCTTCCTGCCCAGTGCCATTAGTACAGTGTCAGTGATTTTTTTGTAGCACTGATCACTGTATTGGTGTCACTAGAGATGTCAGTGACAGCAAGACAGTTTCCCCCAGTGTCAAAATGTCCACCGCAGTCCTGCTGTAAGTCACCGATCGCCACCATTACTAGTAAAAAAAATAAAAAAAAATTCCAGTATCTATACCGCCATTTGTAAACGCTACAACATTCACATAAACCAACTTACATGTATTGGGATTTCTTTTAGCAAAGACATGTAGCAGAATACATTTTCGCCTAAATTTATGACGAAATTTTATTTTTTTTTTACTGGACAGGTTTAGTAGCAAAAAGTCAAAAATATATTTTTTTTTCCTCAAAGTTATCGGTATTTTTTTTTTGTTATAGTGCAAAAAATAAAAAATGCACAGGCAATCAAATACCACCAAAAGAAAGCTCAATTCGTGGGAAAAACCCCCCGTAAATTTCATTTGGGTGCAGCGTTGCATGACTGCGCAGCTGTCAGTTAAAGTAAAGCAGCGCCGTAATGCAAAAAATTGGCCTCAGGAGGGCAAGTGGTTAAAAGGAAGACCACAAAGTTAGCTCTCATATTACTTTACTGACGAATTGTTTTCATATAAATGATAATCCATTCAGTGTGACCTTCCCTATATACTCACAATATTAAAGGGCCACTTGGAAGAGTAACTCAAATCATATGAGTTTTGGGGGAAAGTACATGATGTCAGAAAAATGTTATCATTACACATTTGGATATTTTGCCCTTTCTAGAAAAAACACATATTTCAACAGAATCTCTCTGAACTCCAGAGGTGCTGCTAGGCGGCAGTGAGGTACAGTGGCAGGGATGTTCAATTCCTATCGTCCGACGCCTGGGACATGCAGTTCCGGGTGACAGGCAGTTTTTTTTTTTTGCCTTTAGCCTTGTAGCGGGCAAGCAGCAAGGCTCAATTGTCAGGTGGAAGCAATCGGCCCGATTGCTTCCACACAGATCACAGTGTCAGCCTCTCCCCCGCGCAATGGTAAAATTATTAAACATTTAAGTCGCTATAAAGCCACTTTTCTTTTTAAAAGCCCCAGACATTACTTAAAGTAGATTAAAATACAGTTTTGGATAAAATTTATGTTTTTTGATTAGGGCAAGTAGATTGTCATGAGGGACAAGTAGATTGGGACACCGATTTAGTCCCTGGATAAGTAGTTTTTTTTTTTTTTTTTTTTTTTAATTTCCACACCCCCGTACAGTGGGATATGTAGTCCTTAGAAATTGAAAGTAAACAGCAGAGAAGAAACTGCAAAGCATGCAGGGAATCCAGGAAGTTATGAAAAGAAGCAAATGGTCAGCAAACAGGCATTGCTCACAGCATGAAAGGATCATTTTCAAGTAAGCTTACAGGTGAAACTCGAAAAATTAGAATCTCGTTCAAAAGTTCATTTATTTCAGTAATGCAACTTGAAAGGAGAAACGAATATATGAGATAGACTCATTACATGCAAAGCAAGATAGTTCAAGCCGTGATTTGTCATAATTGTGATGATTATGGCTTACAGCTCATGAAAACCACAAATCCACAATCTCAGAAAATTAGAATATTGTGAAAGGTGCAATATTCTAGGCTCAAAGTGTCCCACTCTAATCAGCTAATTAAGCCAGTCTGGTTCAGTAGGAATCACAATCATGGGAAAGACTGCTGACCTGACAGTTGTGCAGAAAACCATCATTGACACCCTCCATAAGGAGGGAAAGCCTCAAAAGGTAATTGCAAAAGGAGTTGGATGTTCCCAAAGTGCTGTATCAAAGCACATTAATAGAAAGTTATGTGGAAAGGAAAAGTGTGGAAGAAAAAGGTGCACAAGCTGCGGTCAGCAGCCTGGAGAGGATTGTCAGGAAAAGGCCATTCAAAAGTGTTGGGGACTTTCACAACGAGTGGACTGAGGCTGGAGTCAGTGCATCAAGAGCCACCACACACAGACGGATCCTGGACATGGGATTCAAATGTCGTATTCCTCGTCAAGCTGCTCCTGAACAACAAACAACGTCAGAAGCGCCTTACCTGGGCTAAAGAAAAACAGACCTGGTCTGTTGCTCAGTGGTCCAAAGTCCTCTTTACTGATGAGAGCAACTTTTGCATCTCATTTGGAAACCAAGGACCCAGAGTATGGAGGAAGAATGGAGAGGCACACACTGCAAGATGCTTGAAGTCCACTGTGAAGTTTCCACAGTCTGTGTTGATTTGGGGAGCCATGTCATCTGCTGGTGTTGGTCCACTGTGCTTCATTAAGTCCAGGGTCAACGCAGCCGTCTACCAGGAGATTTTGGAACACTTCATGCTTCCTTCCGCAGACGAGCTTCATGGGGATGCTGACTTCATTTTCCAGCAGGACTTGGCACCTGCCCACACTGCCAAAAGCACCAAAACCTAGTTCAATGACCGTGGGATTACTGTGCTTGATTGGCCAGCAAACTTGCCTGACTTGAACCCCATAGAGAATCTATGGGGCATTGCCAAGAGAAAGATGAGAGACATGAGACCGAACAATGCAGAAGAGCTGAAGGCCGCTATTGAAGCATCCTGGTCTTCCATAACACCTCAGCAGTGCCACAGGCTGATAGCTTCCATGCCACGCCGCATTGAGGCAGTAATTGCTGCAAAAGGGGCCCAAACCAAGTACTGAGTACATATGCATGCTTATACTTTTCAGAGGTCTGATATTGTTCTATGTACAATCCTTGTTTTACTGATTGCATGTAATATTCTAATTTTCTGAGATTGTGGATTTGGGGTTTTCATGAGCTGTAAGCCATAATCATCACAATTATGACAAATCACGGCTTGAACTATCTTGCTTTGCATGTAATGAGTCTATCTCATATATTAGTTTCACCTTTTAAGCTGCATTACTGAAATAAATGAACTTTTGTACGATAATCTAATTTTTTGAGTTTCACCTGTATACTGGATTGTCAAAAATAACTATTGTTTGTACTATTACAATAGTGATGCTACAAAGTGTATGATGTGACCATAGATTGCCTTTTAACTGGCTTGGGTTTGCCTTTTACTTAACCACTTCAAGTCCGGACACTTTTACCCCCTTCCTGTCCAGGCCAATTTTCAGCTTTCAGCGCTATCACACTTTGAATGACAATTGCGCAGTCATGCAACACTGTATCCATATACATTTTTTTGCTTTTTTTTTTTTGACAGCTAAAACTTTATTTTGGTGGAATTTATTCGCCACTGGAATTTTTATTTTTTTGCTACAATTGAAAAAGTCCAAACATTTTTTTTTTTTTTTTTCAAAAAGTGTTTAAAACTTTGCAAATAAATAATCTTTCTTCATAAATCTTGGCCAAAATGTATTCATCTATCTTTTTAGTAAAAAAAAAAAAAAAAAATAATAACCAAATTAGTTTATAACCAAAAATTTTTAAAAAAATTTTTTTCACATTTTTATATTATTTATGGTTTTTTTTTAACATACTGTCACCCTAGCAGTACAGTGTCCCCATAGTGACACTGTACAACTTGTGGGGGGGGATTATTTTTTTTTTTTAACACTTATTGCTTTTACACCCATAAAGGCTGTAACAGCAATCATTTCTATTTCTCTCTGGCTGCATTCTCTCAGCCATTGAGAAATGCTGTGTGAGCTGTGATTGGTCACATGGTACAAGGCTGTTGTGAATAGCCTTGTACCATGTGACCTCTTTGACCATTCACAGATTTCACTAGTAGTAAGCAATGATGTCAGAAGTGACATCTTGCTTACTACTATTCATGTGATCACTGATTGGCCAATCAGTGATCACATGATCGGGACCTCACACAGAGGTCCCGTACAGCCCAGGGAGAGCGCACAGGCAAGGAAGCGGGAAGCCGTTTATAAACTGCCATCAGCTCCTGCACTGCTCCCGTCCGGCCCGTTTATATAAATGGTTCAAGGAAAACTTCCCACTAAACTGATATTTAGGTTCTAAGAGTATTCCACACTGCATCGAAGACAGCAACAGAGGCATATTCCATCAGAATGATAAATTCTGCCCAACTTTGACAGACATTACAAAGTCAAATCACAGTGCTACACAAACTCAGTGGACTCCATGATGACCTTGTCAGAGGGAACAGTCACACAAAGTACTGTGAGGGAATCTCAACACTGGAGTGTCTGAGACACAGAAGCCAGCAGGCGCTCAACTCTCCAGTGTCAAACATAAAATGTACAGTATTTTCTGGCGTTTAAGACTACTTTTTATACTTAAAAATATACCACAAAAATTGGGGGTCGTCTTATAAAATGTGAACCTTGAGTTTGTTTGGGTCAAGCTGGCTGGATGTGTGGTAATACTGTACATACAGTATACCGCGCTGAGCCAAGCTGGCTCAAAACAAATGTCACTATGACAGATTAATCTGTCAGCCCGCTGGATGTGCGATATATACAGTATACTGCGCTGAGCCAAGCGGTTTCAAAACGTACCGGTACGTCCGTACTGTAATCAGCCCGCTGGATGCGTGTATGTACGGTAGCTGCGGCTATATACAGTATACACTAGGCCAATCACGGCGAGTGAGGTATTCTACTAATGAATACAAAGCCTGCTTGGATTGGCGGAGTCAGAGAGGTGGGCTGATGATGTCACAACCTCAGCCAATCCGAGCAGGCTTTGTATTCATTAGTAGAATACATCGCTCGCCATGATTGGCCCAGTGTATACTGTATGTAGCCGCAGCTACCGTACATACACGCATCCAGCGGGCTGATTACAGTAGGGACGTACCGGTACGTTTTGAAACAGCTTGGCTCAGTATACTGTATATACCACACATCCAGCGGGCTGACAGATTAATCTGTCATAGGGACATTTGTTTTGAGCTAGCTTGGCTCAGCGCGGTATACTGTATGTACATTACTGCACATCCAGCGGTCTGTATATATACTGTATACTGTATGTAGCCGAAGCTACCGTATTACCGCACATCCAGCGGTAACCATCTGATTTGGAATTTGATTCATATGATGACTGTCTTACAAATGTATCACAAGATGTCATTCATGAACTTATGATGTCAGAGGATGAACATGAGGATTTTGAAGGATTTTAAGTACCGGTAAGTCATAACCATTTCAATTAAAAAATCTGATGTTTTTAAATGGTGTTGCCTCGGAAGGGGGGTAGTCTTATACAGCGACTATAGCCCAAAACCTATGTTTTAACTGGAAAATTAGGGGGTCGTCTTATACACCCAGTCACCTTATACTCCGGAAAATACGGTAAATCAGGTGAAGTTAGCCTTTGCATTATTTTTCCGTATTAAATGGATGCCTTACTGATTTGAAATGTCCATTTGTATGTCCTTGGGGATGAGTGCTGGTGTTTCTCTCGATGTTTATCTTTTTCAATGTCTTTTATATGAGGTGATGAGATTCTAGCTGGCGACCTTGCGATCTTCTGAGGCTTAGGGACGTTGGTAAGTTTAACTGCAGCACATTTACTTGAGCTATCCAGTGCAGAAAGGTCTTCACTGTCACTACTTTGTCCTTTAAAAAAAAAACAAAAAAAAATTAGATTATAACACGGTAACAAAAGAATTGTTACAGAAGAACTGTCAGCACCTAACTTACTGCATAACCTAACCAATAAACTTCAGGTAAACAAAGCCTTGCCCTGATGCTATGCCTCTAACAGTGAGAAACAAAAAAAAAAAAGGTACCGTGTAGCCATTCCTCAGGATGTAACCATCCAGCTGTGTGTGTCTATATGCAAGTAGAATAAAAAAAACATCACAAGAAAAAAAACTTTCCCTCATTGTTCTGCTCTACGTACTCTGTGTAAGTAATGCAGTTAGCAGATGTAGTAGAGTGGGCAGGCTGAGACATTTTCCTAGTTTCGTAAGCAGCATATTAGTTTACACCCAATTACAAGGACTAAGTACAGTAATACCTCGAGTTACGAACTAAATTTGTACTGCAGGACTTTTTGTATAGCGAAAAATTTGTAAACCGAAAACGCCATTTCCCATAGAAATGCATTGAAAACCAATTAATCTGTTCCGGAGGTCAGAAAAAAGTAAACGCTACTAAAATACCGCATGAGTTATTTTATCAAGTCATGCGGTATTTTAGTAGTGAAAACCATGTGTTTATGTTTCAGCTGTCAGCGGGGTTCCCCATTGACAGCTGAACGTAAAAGAATTGCCGACAATTAAAAAAAAAACATCATGGGGTCCCCCCTCCCATCCATACTAAGCCCTTTGGGTCTGGTATGGAATTTGAGGGGAACTCCTGTGCCGAAAAAAAAAACAAAAAAAAAAAAAATAGTGGGGGGTCCCCCCCAAGATCGATACTACCAAGATCGATACCAGACCCTTATCCGACCATGCAGCCTGGCATTTCAGGGCTGCATGTTCAGATAAGGGTCTGGTATGGATTTTGGAAGGGACCCCACACCATTTTTTTTTTTTTTTTAATTTTGGCGCAGGAGTTCCCCTCAAAATCCATACCAGACCCGAACAGCTTGGTATGGATGGGAGGGGGGAACCCACGCTGGTTTTTTAATTTACTATGGTACTGGTTTTTTAATGTAATTACCGCTTTTTTTTTTCTTCACTACAGCTCAAGTTAAAAGAAACAATGTTACCTTTAACTCCGGGGAAAGTGACAGCTAATCCTGTGAGACATAGTGAAGAAAAAAAAAAAAAAAAAAGCCGGAAATTGCATTTAAAAATCAGCACCAACATACACTTCGTATTGCGAAAAAAATTAGTAAACCGAGGCATTATTTTCAATGGATTTTTATTCGTAAACCGAAAATTATGTTAACTGAGGCATTCATAAACCGAGGTACACTGTATTATGTATGGTAAAAGTCATAACTGGCAGTATGTGAAGATTTCAGCAGGTCTTTTTTTTCAGTTTATCTGATGTTCCATTACACTGGAATTTCTCTTTGCTACCTGAATATGCAAACGTTTACACATTAAATAATGCAATACTTCATAAAAACCAGGACAAGCTGCTCACCTATCCCATTCTTTTCAATTTTCAAAGAAGCACTCATTCGCTTTGGTGTTCGCTTCTGTTTTTTTGCTAGTGTTCCAAGGTTACTCTCACTTATCCGTTTATGCCCTGGTGTAAAAAACATAAAAACACTTGTAAAAATGCTTTCTCTGACCCTGTGCTAGAAGTAATCATCACCGGAGTCATCTCTGAGGCAGGATCTACCTTAGTAACCACTATATCGCAGGGTATGGTAATAAGATCTTATATAGTGTTCCGATTTACCTGAAAGTTAAAGTGGTTGTAAAGGCTCAAGGTTTTTTTTTTTTTTTTTTACCTTTTATGCATGAAGGTAAAAAAAAAAAAACCATCTGTGTGTAGCAGCCCCCACTCCCCCCCCCCCCCAATACTTACCTGAGCCCCATCGCGATCTCCAGGGACTCTTCCCCCCCCCACTGGCTCCCGCTGCTGTCAATCGCAGCCAGTAAGTCAATGGGGAAAGGGAGGGATGGGGCTGAGCCACGGCTGTGGGTGTGAATAAACACAAGGGGCAGCAACTCAGGAGCAAGCCTACTCGGGTGCCCCCATAGCAAGCTGCTTGCTGTGGAGGCACTTGGCAGGAGGGAGGGGCCTGTTCTGTGAAAAACCACTGCACAGAAAAGGTCATTATAATTTTTTTTTTCAATTTGCTTTAAATATCGCTTTAAAGGAGAACTATAATACAATAATTACCACACTATGGTAAATATATAAATGCTCTTTGTGTGTAGCTGAAAACACACCACCTTTATCCCCTAAATCTGGGACAAAAATGTGAAAAAATATATATTAGGAGTGGTGCTACAATACACCTCCATTGTAAACCGCTAATCTTGTGCAAAAAAAATATTTAAATAATGATAAATATATATATGTAAAACCATGTGAGTAATCTCCAAGGATCTGAGACATAAATGTAAAAAAATTAAATATTAAGTGTGGATCTACAATACTTCTCCCTCATAAACCAAAAATCTTTTACAAAAATAATTAAATTATTATTATACAGGATTTATATAGCGCCAACAGTTTGCACAGAGCTTTACATAATGAAGGTAGATATAACAGTTACAATACAATTTGGTACAAGAGGAAACAGAGGACCCTGCTTGTTAGAGCTTACAATCTAGCAGGGTGGATAAAAATCAATGATTTAAAAAAAAAAAAAAAAAAAAAAAAAAAAAAAAAAAAAAAAAAAAAAAAAAAAAATCGGATTTTTTTTATTTAAATCGGATTTTTTTAAATAAAATGCTTTTTGAGGAAAATATATTACCATCCAAAGGTTATTCCATCATGAAATAAAGATTAGTTTTTTAATTATGTAGAATAAGGCTGTATATGTTTAATTTTTTTGGTAAATAAATTCCATGAATCCATTCACAATGTCATGCTCTTCCAGAGGTTTTTGTAAGATTATTGGGCAGTTTCTCTGCCTACAAGATATTATCACAGATGTTGGTTTACTTTTGCAGTTCTCAAAACTGAATTTGACTCAGCGGAGATCACATGCCTCTTCTTCACAGCAAAAATGTTATAACATGAACAGAGTTAAGAAAAAGACCTTCATCCTAACTTCTACAAACCTATGAATACAGAATCAGCCCCTTCACTGCTAAGTTTCAAGAAGTTCAGTGAATAGAATAGAAACAATATTTTTGATTGTTTGGAGTGGAATAGATCTGCACAAGAAGAAAGTGAAACTAAGTGTGAGGAGGAAGGGGCTGACAGTCTAAGTTTCTTAAAATATATATATTTTGTTTAGCCAAATTAGTTAACAAACATGGATGTTTAAGCAAATCACATATGCTGGAATGTTATTGTTTCAGTTGAATAAATCTATTTAAATTGTTATTATTAAGGTAATGATTATTTTTCTCCTTCCTAAGTACAACAGAAAAGTTGTCCAAATATGAATGATTAACCTATTAAACTGGGGATAAAAAAACTAATATGAAAAGTTATTCTAAAAATCTTCATCTACTTGTATATTAAAGTTATACCAGCAAGAATTAGTCTTTATGTAGAAAACTAGGATTGAAATCAAACCTTACTGACTAGTGATTTAAATCAAATCCACCCTGCAATCTAGTATCTAATATATGAATGTGACACTATGCGAAAAATACAGCTTCTGATCCTGGAGCATAAAATCAAATCTGACACACTATATGTAAGCACAACCACATCCCTCCTCCAAGTATATTCACCTAAAATCCAAAATAATCACAATTCATAGATAAAATTCATAACGAACAAGGCCATTTATTATAGTGATCAATGAAAACTCTGTGTTAACCACTTAAGGACCGCCCTATAGCAGATATACTGCTACAGAGCGGTACCTGTGCGCAAAATCACGTATGTATAAGTAATTTTGTAGTTCTGGGTAGGGGGCGCACGTGCGCCCTACCTGCGCCGCCATTCGCGGCCATGGATGTCAATCACTGGATCTCGGCTGGTAATTACCCACCAGCGCCCAGTAATTGCCGATAATCTCCGACAGGGAGGAAGATTGTTTTGTTTACAAACAATCTTGCTCCCTGTCAGCTCGAGCACACAGTTCGCGATGGCTGTACACAGCACAGCCATCCCGATCAGTGTTCTTACAGTGAAGAACACCCCCGCCCCCTAGTAAAACACTTCCAGCACACAGTTAACCCTTTGATTGCTCCTCACATTAACCCCCTCCTGCCTAGTGTCATTAGTACAGTGCTTTTTTTTAGCACCGATCACTGTATTGGTGTCACGGGGGTGTCAGTGACACCAAGTTAGTCCCCCCCCAGTGTCAGAATGTCTGCCGCAGTCCCACTAAAAGTCGCTGATTGCCACCATTACTAGTAGAAAAAAAAAATTCCATTATCCTAATGCTATAACTTTCACACAAACCAATTAATTTACACGTATTGGGATTTCTTTTAGCAAAGACATGTCGCAGAAAACATTTTGACCTAAATTTATGACGAACTATATTTTAAAGAATCTTTGTACTGAACATGCTTAATAGCATAAAGTCCAAAATATTGTTTTTTTTCTCAAAATTGTTGGTCTTTCTTTGCTTAGAACGCAAAAAATAAACCCACATGCAATCAAATACCACCGAAAGAAAGCTCAATTCGTGAGGGGAAAAAAAAAGTATGTAAATTTCATTTGGGTGCAGCATTGCATGACTGCGCAATTGTCAGTAAAAGTAACGCAGCGCCGTAATGCAAAAAATGGCCTGGTCAGGAAGGTGGTGAATCCTCTGGAAGGTAAGTGGTTAAAGTGCTCAAACAAATAAGGTGCAGGTTATTCATACACTGGTGCTCATGGACACGCGTGCTCCCCCTCCTTGGAACGCACTCACCAATACTCCATGACCCCATAGTATGAGTCCTCAGTATGAATAGGAGCAGCAGCTCTTGACAACCTCAGTGACAAAACACGTTACGTCACTTCCAGTCCACTGAATGCAGGAGTGTCCAGGACACGTCTATACTTTCTTGCTTGTGTGTTTATACAAGCCACACATTGCTGTAAGTGCAATATTCCCTTTTAAGGTGTTTTTAAATAAAGTGATAACACTTTTAAAGGCTGATTTCTGGTTCCCTTACATACATATCCCTGGAGCACAGGAAGAGAGGCTGAGGAGGCCATCCATTGCCATAGTTTTATAGGGGAAGTGCATGTCCAGGAAAAAACAAAGCTGGTGGCTAAAGCGCATTAGATCCACTTACTAAGGGGTCATGAAGTATTGGTGAGTGCGGTTCAAGGAAGGGGAGCACGTTTGTGCATGAGCACCAGTGTGCGATTAACGAGCACCTAATTTGTTTGAGCACTTTAACCACTTGCCCTCCAGAGGCTTTATTATTATTATTATTATTATTATACAGTATTTATAAAGCGCCAATAGTTCGCTCAGCGCTGTACATTACAAAGGGGGACAGAACATGTGACAGAACAATAACAATACAATGCAAAACCTGAGGGGATCGAGGGCCCTGCTCTTTCGAGCTTACAATCTAGGAGGGAGGGGATAGTGGTACAGGAGGAGATAGCTGTGGGGGATGGAGTGGTGGGAAGAGTGGAGGAGGTCGGTCAAGTTAGCAGGGGGTGGGGTAAGGCTTCTCTGAAGAGATGGGTTTTTAGGGTGCGCCTAAAGGAGAGGAGAGTAGGTGATAATCTGATGGGTTGGGGCAGGGAGTTCCAGAGGATGGGTGACACCCTGGAGAAGTCCTGGAGGCGGGCATGGGAGGAGGAGACCAGGGAACTAGAGAGAAGGAGGTCTTGTGAGGAGCGGAGTGTGCGTGCTGGGCGGTACTTGGATATTAGGTCAGTGATGTAGTATGGGGCAGTATGGTGGACGGCTTTGTACGTCAGTGTTAGGATTTTGAATTTGATCCGTTGCGCAATCGGAAGCCAGTGGAGAGATTGGCAGAGGGGGGTGGCGGAAATGGAGCGGTTGGAAAGGTGAATGAGTCTGGCAGACGTATTCAGGATGGACTGAAGCGGGGATAGCCAGCGGCGAGGCAGGCCAGTGAGGAGGGAGTTGCAGTAATCGAGTCGTGATACGATGAGGGAGTGGATGAGCTGTTTAGTGGTTTCTGGGGTTAGGAACGTGCGGATTTTGGCGATGTTGCGGAGGTGGAGTCTGCACCCCCCCCTTCCTGACCAGACCCTTTTATGCGATAAGGCGATGCGGTTATACAACGCTGCACCCAAAGTAAATTTATGTCCTTTTTTGCCCACAAATAGAACTTTCTTTTGGTGGTATTTGATCGCCTGTGTGTTTTTTTTTTCTGCTATAAACAAAAAAACTATATTTTTGACTTTTTGCTATAAAACATATCCAGTAAAAAAAACTTTTAAAAATCTAATTTCATTATAAATTTAGGCCAAAATGTATTCTGCTACATGTCTTTGCTAAAAAAAAAAATCCCAATACGTGTAAATTAATTGGTTTACGCGAAAGTTATAGCGTCTACAAATGGCGGTATAGATACTGAAATTGCGGCAATCAAGATACTGAAATTGCGGCAATCAGCAACTTATTGCAGGACTGCTGTGGGCGTTTTGACATTGGGGGGGATTTGACTGTCACTGACATCCCCAGTGACACTAATACAGTGATCAGTGCTAATTAAAAGCACTGACACTGTATTAATGACAATGGTCAGGAAGGGGTTAACATCTGGGGCAATCAAAGGGTTAACTGTGTGCTGTGTGTGTTTTTTCACTAGGGAGGCATGCTGTTTTGTATTGCTCCAAAGCAGCGTGCTAGAGCTGACAGGACAGAGATCTGTACTGTTTACATACAGACTTCTCCCGTCAGCAATAGTCTGCAATCACCGAGTGTCGGTGGGGAATCTCCAACCAGGACCCAGTGATTGACAGCTGTAGCCGCCAATGGCGGCGCGGGTAGGGCACACACGCACCCCCGGAAATACAAAATCACTTATATACAGTCAGGTCCATAAATATTGGGACATCGACACAATTCTAACATTTTTGACTCTATACACCACCACAATAGATTTGAAATGAAACAAACAAGATGTGCTTTAACTGCAGACTGTCGGCTTTAATTTGACGGTATTCAGTTCCTGCTTGTTCTTGGGGCATTTTCCCTTCAGTTTTGTCTTCAGCAAGTGAAATGCATGCTCAATCGGATTCAGGTCAGGTGATTGACTTGGCCATTGCATAACATTCCACTTCTTTCCCTTAAAAAACTCTTTGGTTGCTTTTGCAGTCTGCTTTGGGTCATTGTCCATCTGCACTGTGAAGCGTCCAATGAGTTCTGAAGCATTTGGCTGAATATGAGCAGATAATATTCCCGAAACACTTCAGAATTCATCCTGCTGCTTTTGTCAGCAGTCACATCATCAATAAATACAAGAGAACCAGTTCCATTGGCAGCCATACATGCCCACGCCATGACACTACCACCACCATGCTTCACTGATGAGGTGGTATGCTTAGGATCATGAGCAGTTCCTTTCCTTCTCCATACTCTTCTCTTCCCATCACTCTGGTACAAGTTGATCTTGGTCTCATCTGTCCATAGGATGTTGTTCCAGAACTGTGAAGGCTTTTTTAGATGTCGTTTGGCAAACTCTAATCTGGCCTTCCTGTTTTTGAGGCTCACCAATGGTTTACATCTTGTGGTGAACCCTCTGTATTCACTCTGGTGAAGTCTTCTCTTGATTGTTGACTTTGACACACATACACCTACCTCCTGGAGAGAGTTCTTGATCTCGCCAACTGTTGTGAAGGGTGTTTTCTTCACCAGGGAAAGAATTCTTCGGTCATCCACCACAGTTGTTTTCCATGGTCTTCTGGGTCTTTTGGTGTTGCTGAGCTCATCGATGCGCTCCTTCTTTTTAAGAATGTTCCAAACAGTTGTTTTGGCCACGCCTAATGTTTTTGATATCTCTCTGATGGGTTTGTTTTGTTTTTTCAGCCTAATGATGGCTTGCTTCACTGATAGTGACAGCTGTTTGGATCTCATCTTGAGAGTTGACAGCAACAGATTCCAAATGCAAATAGCACACTTGAAATGAACTCTGGACCTTTTATCTGCTCATTGTAATTGGGATAATGAGGAAATAACACACACCTGGCCATGGAACAGCTGAGAAGCCAATTGTCCCATTACTTTTGGTTCCTTAACAAGTGAGAGGCACATATGCAAAACTGTTGTAATTCCTACACCGTTCACCTGATTTGGATGTAAATGCCCTCAAATTAAAGCTGACAGTCTGCAGTTAAAGCACATCTTGTTCGTTTCATTGCAAATCCATTGTGGTGGTGTATAGAGCCACAAATGTTAGAATTGTGTTGATGTCCCAGTATTTGTGGACCTGACTGTATACACGTGATTTTGCGCAGCCCTGCAGCAGTATTTGTGCTATAGGGCGGCAGGAAAGCAGTTAACATGGATTTTTCATTGAGAACTTTAGTAAATGGACTTTTTAAAGTTATGAACGTTCTTTAATAATGAATTGTGATTATATTGGATTTTAGGTGAATATTGTGACACATAGGGAGGGCTGTTGTAGTACATAGTAAGATAGTGTGCAGATGTGCTGATTTTATTCGCTTGGAGGAGCAGTATTATTCACATGGTTTCATGTTCATGTATTTGTTATTACTTAATTATTGTTTTTGCACAAAATGAGGTTTATTGTATTGCTGAACTTAAACACATTTTGTACATGTCCACACAGCTTCACATCTATATATTTATTATTATTTGTTTTTGCACAAGATTAGTGGTTTACGAGGGAGGTGTATTGTAGAGTCACATCTAATATATACTTAAAGGAGAACTATAGTTGAAAATATAGCATAGGAGTTTTTTTTGGTTAATAGAGCCTTTGTACATCTCTTCTGCCAAAATATCTCCTTTACGTATCTGCTAGCAATTACATGTCTGCCATCTGTAAGATGCCTGAAATGAAGTTGAGCATTGGGAAGACACAGTTCCATTGCACGTGCAGAAAGGGATACATCCTTGGTGACACCCAACGGCGGAAAGAAGAGGACCCCAGTGTGGAAGAAGTGCTGAAGAAGGCGAACATGGATCTGTCAGTGCTGGGCAGGAGCAGTAAAAATGCCATTTATATTTGCAACATTAGGTCAAAAGGTTCCTGCACCACAGCCAGGTTTAGTTTAGCTTCAAGTAGCAACCAATGCACAATACTGAAAGCTAGACAAGGTTAAAATGACTATTGCACATCTCTAGAGAACCTAAAAAAAAAAAAAAAAGACACGAAAATAAAAGGACATATACCTTTGTCGCGCAGCTCTGCTTCTTGTTGTGCTGTCATACTGCAGTTGCTGGAAGTGGTGCTGGCCTCAAAACCATTTGCTGATTCACTCTCACAAAGACCTTCTTGTGATTCTTCAGCCACACTGTCCACTTCAATTGTAATATCGCTCTCGCTCTTTTTATACTGTGAGACTCATCGTGGCTAAGTGCAAGGGGAGAGGCCACAGAGTAACTATGAGTCTGGACAGCAGGTGGCAGTGTAGGGGCAAGTAGAGACTGTGTGTCAGGCTCTGCTTTCTCCAAGGGAATATCCTCTACCTTGTCTTTTTCATCAAAATCGTCCAAATCTACTTCATGGCAAACCAGAGTCTCGGGGCCAATCATGGGCATGGCATCGTCTTGTTCCTCCTTTTGGGACATCCCAGTAATGTCATTCAGTTGCACGTCATAGTCCTCAGTCCTCATGCTCTGTACGTGCTCTAGCTCAGCCGTTAAGGAGGGCATTTCATCATTTACATTCTGCAGCTCTTCCTCCTTAATGGCATCAAAGTTTTCCTGAGTCTCACAGATTTCTGTAGGTTTCTCCTCGGGTGTGATGATAGGCAGTTCCAGATCACTCTCTGTTCGAGGCTTTTTCTCTGGAGAGGTTTGCTCCATTGGTTTCCTCTTAAACCCTTTCTTTTCCTTAGTCAATGGGTCATTCGGCAGGTCCACCTCCTTCACAGTAAGGGGCAATTCCTTACTTTGCAGTGTAGCAAATGGAACAAAGTCTAAAGTTTCAGGTTCTGCCTTAGGTTCTTCCACATTATCTTCCTGAGTGGCCGGCAAAGTTTTTGTGTTGTCTGGAGAAGGTTCCTTTGTTTTACTTCTCCTACCCTTAGGCTTTGGCAGGTTTTCTGCTTCTTTCTTTAGTTCTTCAATTTGTTCTGTTTGCTTCCCATAAATCTGAACGATTTGCTCACTCTCTTCCACTTCTTGCTTTAGCGTTTCTGCTGGCTTTATTGGACTGTTTTCCTGCTCCTTTACAACATAAATGACCTGGGCGGCCTCTGGCTCGGGCATCCTCTCGGGTGAATTGTCTGGTTTTTCCTCAGATTCTTTTTCAACATTTGGCAAAGGCTCCTCTTCATTCACAGGCACCTTTTCGGTATTTTCTTCTGACTCGCTATCAGATGTAGAGGAATCTGCAATTAAAAAAAATGCCTTAAAAAGAGGAATTGTATTAGGCAGTCCTCACATTAAGACAGTACACATAACATAACCAATATGCCAAAAGCAAGAAAAAAAAAAAGGAACGCTGACTTGCCTGTAAATTCCATCTCTTTTAGTTATAGATGTATACTTTCATGTGATTGGACATTGGCACACTTTTAAGAACTCACCCTACTGGGGCACCTTCCCTATAACTCTATCCCACTCCTTGAATCCTCAGTTTTCTAGTAAGCAATGTAGAGTAAACCAAAGAAAAGTAGGGAGGGTGGCCTGTATCCTGTACTGTACCCCAAGATATACACTCACCAGCCTCTTTATTAGGTATACCTTTTTCCTTGCTTGATAACACAAATTGCTAATCAGCCAATCACATAGCAGCAACTCAATGCATTCTGGCATCTAGATGTGGCGAAGACAACTTGCTAAAGTTAAAATCGAGCATCAAAATGGGGAAGAAAAGGGATTTAAAGGATAAGTTCACTTTTTTACCAAAAATAATAAATACCATTTTTTTTGCAGGTAAAAAAAAATGTGCATTTATTATTTTTAGGTGCATGAGACTGGAAACCATTGCACCAGTGATCAGCAGATTGCTGGTGCCATGCAGGTCTCCTGCAGATCTGTCAGTATATCTGCTTGGTCGTACGGGATGTGCGAGCAAGCAGATATACGGACATGAAGAATCAATTAAATACCATGGTAGTTTACTGAGAATTACAAGCCTACAGCCAAGTAAGGCTGTCGGGACTTGTAGTTTCGCATTCACAGAAGAGTGTGAATGAGTGACGCGGCCGGCAGGCGAAGCCCCACACGGGCCCTTTTTATTTATTTATTTTAATGGGGGAGAGAAAATCTGTCAAAGGTGAACTTATCCTTTAAGTGACTGGCATGGTTGTTGGCGCCAGATGAGCTGGTCTGAGCTTTTAAAAAAAACTTCTGATCTACTGGGATTTTCTCACACAACCATCTCTAGGGTTTACAGAGAATGGTCTGTAAAAAAAAGAGAAAATATCAAGTGCGTGGCAGTTTTGTGGATGAAAATGCCTTGATGTTAGAGGTCAGAAAAGAATGGGCAGACTAATTCGAGATGATAGAAAGGCAACAGTAACTCAAATAACCACTTGTTACAATTGAGGTATGCAGAATACCATCTCTGAATGCACAACACGTCGAACTTTGAAGCAGATGGGCTACAGCAGCAGAAGACCACAACGGGTAGGAAGGTGTACCTAATAAAGTGTCCGGTGAGTGTAGAATTTAGAGGCACGTAAAAAATCCTGTGTCTTAATTGTACTGTACAGGACACAGGCAACTTATTCATACACTGTGGGACTCCCGCAAACAATAAACACAAAGGGTAGGTAACAACTAAGCAAAGAAACTGTGCCAATATGCCCAAAAAACGGGTGAAAACCGTTGAGACTGTGTGAATAGAAGACCCGGTGGCGGGCCTTGCACAGTTGGGTTACAAAGGCTTGGTGCCTAAATGCCCAGAAAACTCCCAGTGATCTGGTGGAATAAGTGCAGGAGGTTGTTGTTGACTAAGAGTGTAAGCTCTTCAGAAATCTCTGCTGAAACACCTTTTAAATGTAGCGCGGGTGTGCATACCGAGTCAATGGACCCAACAGTCTGCCCCTACCGTGGCCCAATGGCTCGCAAGAGTGAATGATATTGAACAGATGGAAGACCTGACTTCTGCTATTCGGGACAAAATCGGAAGAACACAAGACCAGGTGGTTTTATTGGGACCTTTTCCACTTCTCAGATGATTTTTCCACCCTTTCTCTTTTATAATAACATACTAAACAATCCGCATTGACAAGACTTCCCCCCCATTTACCAGGAACTTCTTCCAGAAACTGAAGGGACTCTCTTCCGTTGCAGAGGGAGCACTTACATAACCTGCCCAGAGAGATCCCTCCATTCCTTCAACACTCGCTGTTTGCAACTAGGCTTCATGTCCACGTATGATTTCATCTTCTGATAACTGCCCCAAGCAATCATATTTTTACCAGCATGTATCCACACATTGATGGTACAAGTGCTACTCTGTATGGCTTAGCTGTTCTGTGAAGTTATCATTTCACTGTATATGCTGCATACCACTAAATTAAAAAAAAAAAAAAAAAAAAGTAAGCTCTTGCAATCAAGTACATTCTCCACCAATGCCATGGTGACATAACTGGGAATCAGTTTGTCTGATGGAAGCAGTAGCTATGAGGTATACTCTAATGGCTGACAACATCAAGGCGAGGTAGAGACAGTTCCTTTGTGCTGCTATCCTTCTGCCCTGCCACTACGCATCCAAGGTCTTCACTGAGATGGAATGCTGAAACCACCTTTGGAAGAAAGAATCATCTTAGTCATAAAAAAGACCTGGTCAATAGGAAGCATCAGGAAAGGGCCTCCAGTTCAGAAACAGATCTGACAGATATATTACTACCAAAGGTCCCAAGGAAGCATAGGGTGCTGCAAGGGGGGATCAATCTGAAAAACACCTATAGAAGCTAGAGGCCTTTGAAAGGGAATAAATAGAGGCGAATACCTGCTCTATAAGGGTGCTTAGAGCCCACTTCTGGTTAAGACTCACTTCCAGAAAGGACAAAATGTGAGGCACAGAGTAATCTGTTCACACCAGGCAAAATAAGATTTTGAGGTACCATAATAGATCCTTCTGGAAGAGGCTTTTCTTGATTTTAAGGTAGGAATCACAGACTCAGATACCCCTCTATCCTTTAAGACCAGTGTTTCAACAGCCATGCTGCTAAAACTAGAGATTGATTAGCAGCATGGAGTAAAGGGCCTTCAGATGGCAAATCTGGACTGCTGAGAAGGGGTCAGGAATTGTCTGCTAGAAGTCTGAATAGGTCTGTGTACCAAGTTCTTCTGGGCCAGTTTGGTGCACCACTTTTCTCTCTATTTTGGTGTACAAGTTAGGCAGAAGTCACACAAGATGAAGGTTGTTGAATCTGGAGGCTAGGATATGCACAACCAGAATCCTCAATTTTTTACAAAACAGACTGAACACATCAGGTTGAGGTGACCATTCCCCTTGGTCCAAGTCATTGCTGTTAAGATGAGCCTCCTGTCAACTGTCCACTCCTGGGATGTGGACTGCAAAAAATTTAGACAGAAAATCTAGTTTGTTTCTATGAAAACACCGGTGGTATAGTTGATTTATACTACCGGGTAGCATTGTCTGACTGTACTTGAATTTAGTGTCCCTTCAGAAGGGAGGTCAAGTGCTGCAGAGACAACCTAATTGCTACAAGCTCCAGGATGCTAGTAGAGAGCTTGGTTTCTTCTCTTGACCATGTTCCTTGAACTATCACAAATTTGGCAAAGTGTCTCATCAGACAGGCATCCTCCTTACAAGCTTTAAGCCATAAGATTCTGCACATGTGAATGAACATTACAATCATTCTAGAAATGTGTTTTATGGCATGTTTTAGGGCATCCACAAAAATAAAAGCAGAAGAGAAGGCAATAGCTGCAACTGATCTGTAAAACAGCACAATCCTGAAACAGAGGGTCATGCTGGTTGTTCATTGTCCTAGTCCAGTTAGCTGCAGATTGTAGATACTGTAACTGCAGCAAAAGCTGGCTGCAGGGCTGGACCTGCAAATTTAAAGGGAGCCTTTAGGAGAGTCTCAGTTATTTCTATCTGCAGAATCTTTGAAAGAAGGAACATCTTCAACAGGTACAGTGAAATGGAAGGATCAATTATGGAGGGGGGTGAAAATTCTGAAACCAACAGGGTATGGTGAGACGGAGGAGGTTCAGGATGCACAATATCAAGGCTTGTGCAGACAGAATCAATGAGTGTTTCAATGTTAGTAAGCATGCTATGTGAAGCTCCCTCTTCATCATACCCGCAGTCTGGAGAGGAAAATGGAGCTTCCTCCAATACTGCCTCAACATCCTCTTCATCCCTTCATTCCCTTCTGTGTCTACAAGCTCTAGGACAAGCTCTTCAGGATCTGACTCAGGTAAAGAAACGGGAGTAGGAGGGGAGGTGTGGAATTTATCAGCCCTGGACAAATATGGCTGTATTAAGGTCGTATTCTGTCCAATGAATTGAGACGAAGATGTAGAAAATTCTGCTTCTATCAAGTTGGTCACTTGTTGCATGTCTGAAATAGAACTAGATGCAGATATCAGTGCACAGCAGGTCCGGCTCCAGTGCAAGGGATGCATCGTCACTCTGAGGTTGAGTGTTGTGCAGGACTTTGGCAAAGTGAATGTTTGCGTGCAACTTTGAATTTGATCCCATTCACCTGATCTACTGTACAAGCAAGGGTATTCCTCTGGGTGGACTCATGGAGTAGAGGGCAGGTAACTGGGTAAGCATGTCCAGAAGGAGTGCATACTGACCCAGGTGCATATTGCCCTATAACAAATCCTTGTACAGGAGGAAACACCTGAGTAGCTTATAACTTAAAGTGTGCGACCAGTGGTTTGATGTTGTTAGTCTGAGCTCTGAGTGGTTTAAATTTTAGCACCAAGTTTAAAAAGTATACACCATTAAAAGCTCTGTTTTTACAGTCATGGTCATAGATACAGGGTGACCCTGTGATACCTGCTAATGATGCTGGCTGTATATAAAGTCCATTCTTAGCCCATCACTTTGGGCATATCCAATTATAGGGGCTGCAGTGCTATTCAGAGACCACTCCATAGGACACTGAAGTCTGCATTCTATGAATTACTGTAACAAGCAGGTGCAGTATGGAGTAAACACTGTGATGTCCAGCAGAGAGGATAGCAATATCCACTCTCAGTATAAATGGATCCCCTTAGTATTTCTGGAATCTTATGCAACCTCCAATAGATGCTATAGTTAAAGGCAGGAGCCCATTGGGATATTGTGTTTACTCACCATTGGAGCATCTATCCGAGTCGTACATTCCAGAACTCCTTCTCGTTCTCCTCCGAATTGTTCCTAAAGTTTAAAAACATTAGTTTTAGTCTTTACAACATTACTTTTGTGTTATGGGTCCCTAAAGGATAAAACTCAAAGGCAACCCTAGTCCAGGCTAACGCTTCCTGTGCAATTTTGGATAAGCCAACATTGCAAACTAATATGTATTAAAAGTGCAACTCCTTGCAACAGCTAAACATGCAATTGAACAGCAAACAGTATGTCTTGTGATTTATGAATTTCTGTCACACTGAAGCACAAGCCTGAAGAAAAAAAGAAATATATCCTTTGGAAGGTAAAAAAAAAAAAAGTTACATATATGCATTTCAATAGCATTTATCCATAGCTGGTGTTTTACTATAAAGAGAACATTGGACAGTTAGCTAATTATAGAGCTTTTTTTTAAATTGTAAAATAAATATCACAATGTGAATCCCTTGTGGGGCAGTAACTGCAGTGGCTCTGTGTGTGTTTCTCTGGGTACTCCAGTTTCCTTCCACAATCCAAAACAAGCTGGTAGGTTCATTTGCTTCCTCCTAAATTCCCCCCAGTGATTATGATAGTAACAGGAACATTACATTATAAACGTTCCATTACCTTCCAATCCATTTGATAAGGAAGAGTTGTCAGGCGTGTTCTTTGTGTGTTTGCCAGATGCTTTGCCTTCACTATTTAGAGTCTTGGGAACAGCACAAGTTACATTAGACAGAAGCTGTGACTTTAAAGGAGGACGGCCTCGTCCCTTTGCTTTTTGTTTTTCTTCCTCTCTCTTTTCATCCTTGTCATTTTCATCTTTGTTCTAAAAGGTGTACAAAAACACAATTGATACAAATTAAGCAGTAAAGGACACACATTAGTATGAAAATACATGCAAAAACTACCTTGGACTGTTCTTCATCATAGCACTACTTCTGGCACAAGAGGTCACTCTGCTCTTAAACATCTAAAAAAAAAAAGCATCCTGGTGTTCTGAATACCTTAACCTCTTGCCCTCCTGAGGATTTACCCCCCTTCCTGACCAGGCCATTTTTTGCATTACGGCGCTGCGTTACTTTAACTGACAATTGCGCAGTCATGCAACGCTGCACCCAAATAAAATTGAGCTTTCTTTTGGTGGTATTTGCTCGCCTGTGCGTTTTTTATTTTTTGAGCTATAAGCAAAAAAACCCCGACAATTTTGAGAAAAAAACCCCCAATATTTTGGACTTTTTGCTATTAAACATGTCCAGTAAAAAAAAAAAAAAAATCTAATTTTGCCATAAATTTAGGCCAAAATGTATTCTGTGACATGTCTTTGCTAAAAACAAATCCCAATACGTGTAAATTAATTGGCTTACGTGAACGTTATAGTGTTTACAAATGGCGGAATAGATAATGTGATTTTTTTTTTTTACCTACTAGTAATAGCCGTTGGAGATGCTCTGTAATCACCGAGCGCTGGCGGGTAATTACCGGCCGGGACCAGTGATTGACATCTGCGGCCGCGAATGGCAGCGCGGGTAAGGCGCGTGCCCCCTACCCGGAAATGCAAAATCACGTATATATACACACATGATTTTGCGCACAGGTGCCGCCCTGTAGCAGTATATCTGCTATAGGGTGGTCCTTAAGCGGTTAATGCAAACTTGTGATTCAGCAGGCCAGGGATTAAGAACACTTCCTATAATGGGCAGTTTCATTACACACAGCTATCATGATACAAAAAGTATTATTCACTTGTTGGTCATTACCGCAATCTACAAGAAGCATTAAAAGGGAAGTATGGGATTATTTTAAAATCATACTTACCTAGGTGGATACAGCATCAATCTGATACTGCACCTGTCCCCCACCGGCTCTAAGGCTGAGAACTGAGCGATCAGACACCGCTGATCGCTCAGTTCTCCCCCTCACTCAGAGCAGACTGTCAGTCAACGCTGTATGCTCTAAAGTATGGGGAAACATGATATGTTTTCCTGTGGTAGTGCCTGGAACAAGCAGCCAACCATTAGACCTGAGCACTGTCACATAACTCGATTAGTGATGTCACTGGTTCCCTTGTGTTGCCAAAACATCCAATTTCAATCCCAACTGTTATGGAACCCTTCGGGAGAGAAAGTGAACTCTTTGAGACAGCACAGGAAAGATAAATATATGGGGGTCAGGGGATGTCCTGTTACTTTGCTTAGCCGAATGCAAATAGATGAAGAGTTTAGACTGTAGGTAGCTGCGCAACATAGAGCAGGGCTGCAGGCTAAAAACATGTATTTGATGGTAAAGCAAGGGACCATTTAACCACTTCAATACTGGGCACTTTCACCCCCTTCCTCCCAGGCCAATTTTCAGCTTTCAGCACTGTCACACTATAAATAACAATTGTGCAGTCATGCAAAACTGTACCCATATGAAATTTTATATTTTTTGCATAATTCTGAAATTTAATTATTTTGGTAGTGTTTAATCACCACTGTTTTTTTTGCTAAACAAGGAAATTTAAGGGAAAAAAATGTCTTAGTTTTGGTTAGAAAATTTTGCAAATAAGTAATTTTTCTTTACGGATGTGCACTGATGAAGCTGTATTGATGGGAACTGTTGGGCACTGATGGGGCTGCAATGATGAACAATGCCCTACTTATCAGTAAAAACAGTGTACTCACTGTACACTGTCAGACTGACTGGTTATTGGCTCTCCAATAGGAAATGCCGATAACCAGCAAGTTTGTTTACATGTGACCAGCTGTGATTGGACACAGCTAATCACATGATAAAGGGCCACTGTGACTGTCCCTTTACCCTGATCTGTGATCAGCTGTGTAGAAATGACACAGCTGTAACAAAGCGCCTGATGCATGCACCAGGGGGCGCGCAGGAGGCGCACACATGGGAGGATGTAGAGCCGTGCTGTAGCCATCTTTCGGCTATAGCACGGTCAGCAAGTGATTAAAGATGCAATAAAACAGAAGTCACACTATGCTGAGTGTACTCCAGAAGGAGACAACTGCTGTGATTCTTTCATATCCTTATAAGTTTAATGGTGTATTGCAAATTTCTCAGATGTGCTTAAAAAAAAAATTGAATAACAACAACAAAAAAAAAATTTCAACACTCAAATGGCAAACAGATTCACATCTTTAATAAGAGAGCACTGAAAAAAACCCTGCAGCAATCAGTATATATCCAGCCACACAACAATGAACATAAGTGAAATATTCAGAATTACTTTTATTCTTTTCTTTAGTTTTCTCTTTGATCCACCTTTCTCTGAAGGCCAGATGATTCTGTCAGCTTTAACCCATTCATCATATCTGTAAAAAAGAATCGAGTGTTGCAGCGGCTTAAAGAGTAAAACTTACAGAGTATCATTCCATGAATACTTTACAAACTGTAAACAAGTCTGAATTTTGAGGCAGATGGGCCACAAGCAGTTGAAGGTGGAATGGCTGTACAGGGACCACTGCCTGCCTGCATGCAGACTTATCTTTTCCTGCCTGGTCTTGCACCAGTTATAGAACCAGCATGCTCTGTTATGGAAAAATGCAGCCAGATCACTCAGGCCATGCCAGCTCTCCACACCTCCATTCCAATCAGTAAAAATATACGTCACACGTTGCATGAGTTGCTTTATGCTGGATTACTGCACAGTTCTAAAGAGAATACACAATTGCACAAAGCTTCAAGTAAAAAATAAACATGCCTCTTGTCCACCATATTTGTTTAACCCGAGGTTCAGATTTAAAGCTATTGGGGCATTTTGCAGGAAAATTAATTTGCATGCAGGCACCAAGAACTACTTGCACAGGCATTCAACCAGGGTTTGTCTGTGTCTGAACAGCAACAGGTTAATTTTAACACACACAATATTTTTGACAGGGGGTCAAAAATATACACTGGGCTGATATTTAGCCCATCAGAGTAACTTTGGTATTGTATATTTGTCAAATGTTTCTTGTCGTAAACTGACAAAAAGAACCTTTCATGCTCAAAAATCTCTAAGTCATTCAAACGCAATGAAAAAAAAGCTGTGAAAAATTGAATAAAAAAAATGGTGCAGCGCTTAAATTTTTTAAAAAAAAACTCACTTCTTACAAACAAATGTGAAATGATAAATATGAATCACCTTAACTTAGTGATAAAATAACAACCCCTAGTTAGGCCCCTTCCACGCAGGGCGGACTCCACTAGGAGTCCAGCTGCTCAGCATGGAATCTGTCTGTTGATACCCTCTAACCGGGCAGGTTGGTTGTGTCCACTCGGCTTATGCAGAGTGGACACAGACAAGGACCGTTGTCCTCTCTGTGTGGTCAGATGTAAATGGACCGCTTGTCTGTTTACACTCGACTGTCATCTGATCTGCTAGACGGATAGGGAACAAATCCCCATCTGTCTAATTTTAGCAGATCGGATGTAGGCACCTGTAAATGGACATAAGTCCATTTACATCCGCCGTTCTATAGAGGATAATGGAGGGCCCAAAAGGGTCCGCCTAAAAAACTGACAGACGGACCTGATCGGTCCACCCGTGTGAAAGGGGACTAATTCAAAATGTAATATATAACAACTCAACACACTGCTATATGGTGAACGTTTTATCTGAATCCAAAAAACAAAATAACCTCAAACAATAATTTAGATTAACATATACAGCCATAAAGGTGTCCTTAAAGTGTCCAATCAAAGTATTCAATGTAAAAGTGCGCTATTTCAAGTGGAGGTGAATTTCACAGATATTCAGGTCCTTTGCAAATTACAGTGCATTATCACACATGCTCCCCACTGTGAAAATGCCCTCATCTTCTAAATTTAACCTAAACCAACATATCATCAGACAGGTCAAAATAGGCTTATGTAGTTTCCCAGGTTCCTATAGATGACAGTTCTCCTCTTGAGTAATTCAGAATTCTTCATGAGCAAGGTGAGGACTCCCATACAGGTTATAGCTCCCTCAATAGGGAATTCAATGATTCGCACAAACAAGGAGAGAAAAAAAAAAGAGCCACAGTGTAAAATAATACAACCAGATTTGTTAAAAAGACTAAAATCCACTTACCTGGAATACATTTTTCTGTGCACGCACCAGAAAGCAGGGCAGTAGTCACAATAACCAGTGTTTGCTAATCTGAAATATTTGCTTTCTGGTGTGTGCAGTGCAAGACGTCTTCCATGTAAGTGGATTTTAAACATTTACAATTGAAGGACCTGCAGGGGCGGACTGACCATTTGGAAACGCGGGCACTGCCCAAGGGCCCAGGGTCAGTAGGGTGCCCCATGAGATGCCCCTGGTACCTTTTTCATAGGCTTTTTTGAGTTTGGGCAAGGACACAGGGGCCCCATGATCCCCTATTGCCCGGGGGTCCCATGAGTTGTCAGTCCGCCCCCGGGGAGCTGTGACCTGTCTGGGAGACTCATGAGGAATTCTAAATTTACCCAAGGGGAGATCTGTGATCCATAGGAACCTGTGAAAATACATAAGCCTATTTGGACCTGTCTGATACAAGTTAGTTCAGGTCAAATCTAGAAGGCAAGTGCATTTTCACAGTGGGGAGCACATGTGATATGCACTGTAATATGCAAAGAACATGAAAATATTTCACATGGAGGTGGGTTGCATTTTACACTGAATACTGTGTTTGGACACTTTAAGGACACTTCTTGCTGAATATGTTAAAGTACATTATTGATGGAGGTCATTTGCTTTGGATTTGGATGACACATTGTTATATGGTAAATGTTTTGAGTTGTGATATATTACACTTTGAACTACTGGGGTTTGTTATGTTACCACAGAGTTAAGGTGACTGAGATTTATCATTTGAAGTTTGATTATGTTAGAATTAAGAAGTATTATATATTTTTTATCAAATCTTTGGTATTATGTTACAAAACAAATATAACTCGTGTTTTACCAACTGAGCCAGTCCTTACAATACCATTGTAAACATGTACTCTACTATACAAACTTTCAACTTCACATTGTGAAAGCATACACATGATTGCGCATTTTAGACTGCATGCTAATAATATAGCATGTTTATTCTTGTTAAAATCCACCTATCTGCACCAATCATTGCTTTCGACAATGACTCAAAAGAAAAGTCACTGTATATACTATTCTGCAGGACAGGTAACGGGTTTGACATGGTTCTCAGGAAAGAATTCCACCATTTCTTCAGAAGTAAATGAGACTGATTTACCATGTGTGTGGTCAGCACTGAAGCATTCTCGGAGGGCTGAGCGTAGGGGCACAGAGGAGGAGAGCACCCAGAGGCAGCTACTAACATAAGTAGCATAATATAAAAGATCTTTAAGACCCTTGATGTTGCATACAAAGTTCAAGGATTCAAACAGGGTCTTCGGAGTAAGACTTTTTTTTTTCTAACAATTACATTCTCTTCAAACCACCAAATAAATGTCCCTCCTTCTAAGATACAGTATTATAGATGGAATTGTAAATGAGCTAAGTTAGAGTAGCCCAGACCTGTCATTATCTTAAAATGTTCCCTAAAGAACTGGGATCTGCTTTTTTCAATTGCTGTAAACTGGATTTGGGGAGGTGGATGTGTGCTGTTGGACTATTAGACCTGTCCACGTGGGGAGCAGCCACATGTGCTACTCATTCCAAAAACGTGGAAGTTATGAGGATAAGGAGAGGTTCAGAGGCTCACAGAGGATGTTACAAGGAAGCAGAAAAACACAATAAGAAACAATTTAAAGAAAAAAAATTAACGTCATGAAGTAGTGAATATGTTGGGATTATATTTGGAGGATAAGGATATGGTTTAGCATCACTAATACAGGCCATAGATAGGTCGAATTCTGAACAAACTTTCTTTCGAAAATAGGCAATTTTCTGCGTTTTGAAATCCAGTGGTGCCACCAATGATTTTGAAATTCGACCAACCAGGCCTTCAGTTTCACCTCATGTTGCTACATAAAATAATTTTTGTGGCTGGGAATCTTCTTTCCTTACCAGGTCACAGCTCATTCTCATTTCTTTATCGATTGGCTATCTCGCACGATTCTCCCATCATTAATTAGAAATTTGTTTTTCAAAATAATTTCCAACATGCCTGATCACTCAAATTCGATGGCTGCAAGAAAATCGTCCGATGCTACAGCCCCACTAATGGTGTGAAATTCAAACACTTTTATTTACGATTTTCAAAAGAACATTCTTTTGTGAACCTGACCCATGTATGGCTTGCATAAGTCTCTTAGTGAGCCTCTAAACACTCTCTACCAACACCTGGAGCTTGCTTTCAGGAGATGACAGCACTTGGATAACCTCATCAGCTGTTTTTTCAGTCTCCATACAGCGGACTGGGGGGATAACCAAGGAGGCATACTTTTTCCTACAATCACCCTTCAAATGCATCAATATTATTTCAATTTCAATAGGGTAGGGGAGCTGTGAAAATGGATGATGCTTGAAGTAATAGAATTAAGGTAGGACAGGTGTAAAACCTTGAGATTAGGACTTCTGCCAGGAATTTAACTCTACATAAGAGTTATGGCTTTGTGTTATGCTTAAAGTAATAAGTCAGATGGTCACAAGTAACCCAAACACTTCTGAATTGACATCACTGCGTTGAAGAATTTCAGAAATTGGATCCAAACAATCTGAATCTCAATTCCAGCATCATGCTCCCTTTCCTATACAGTCAGTCATATAAACACAGCCTCATGCCGACATACCTTACATTCCAGCCATAGTAGTGCACCAGGTATAACAACTCTCCACCATCTACCTCTGTGCTTTTAATATTGGCTTCATAGATTTTCTGGGTTTTCCCACGTCCGTATTTAACTTTTACTTTGGTGCCTGCCAGACGATCTTTTTCTTCCGAATCCTCATCCTCCTCACTTTCTCCTTTATTCTCCATTTCATCTCTTCTGCAAATTGAAAATATTATACAGTTAAAACTCTATGTAAACTCCAAAAACCAACTTCCCTTATTTGCCCCTTTTGGGCTGTACCACTGGAAGCATTTTGTTAAACATAATTGAGAAGTGCAAAAAGCGTTGATCTTGTTAAAAAATTCAGAGGTGTCCTGAGTCCTATATGTATACGTGCTGTATCAATAGAGTCTATTTCAGTATTTCTCAACCCTTTCTTTAGCCACAGCACCGTTTAGTATTTTCAGTCTTGACTCCAGTCGAAAAAACAGTCATGCTAGCTTAGAAAAGCCGTTCTGATTGAGTGTTGAGATAAGTAAGGCCTCCTTCACACAGGTGTTCCATGCATCCCTGTGCAGGCAGTCTCATTCATGTTAAATGGGACACAGCAGCTGAAAGAACACAGCCACTGCTTTTAATTTGTCATCGATGTGGGTGCGGGTTCCCAATTGCACTCTGTCTGCGTTCAGGGACCCTCCGTTTCTAATGCAAACTGTTGAACAGAGCCAAATTGGTTGTTGCACAGGCTGGCTGGAAGTGTTGCTGGGAAATTCTTTGTTTGCATTGCCCTTCCATGTGCACCTTACTGCTAAGGATGGTTATAGGTTGGGACGGTTTCCATTTTTTGGCTCATTTTGATGCCGGGACGCACTGGATGCCTTTGCTGTCATTTTGGTATAGGTGGACATCACGTGCACCCCTGTACCTTTAAGGAGGGATAAGCTCCTCCAGGCCACACCTGTCCTTAACCTATCCATTGATATATGTGCGCCTACTATGGAGGCTTTGGAAAGTTTAAGTTAGGTCCACAATATACAGAGGATCCTTGACGTAGGACTGTGGCTTACACAAGTATTTGCAAATGTGTACAAACAAAACCCTCTGTTTTTACTGCACACGGTTAGACAGGGCCAAATTGGTTGTTTAGCAGGCTGGCTGGTAAGTGTTGCTGGGAAATCCTTTGTTTGCAATGTTCAGGGACCTGCACCCGTACCAGCTGTCAAATTTGGAGCAGCGGCTGTGTACGTGCAGCTGCGTCACCCAAATAGACCTGAATGGGACTGCCTGAATGGGATGCACGGGTGGTTAACACATTGGTGGCTATGGCAATTAAATAAAACCCTAACCTACTTTAGCAGTCTGTGGCAGTGATAATTAGATGTAAATTTTCTAGAACTGTATGGAAAATGAAATTATGTATTTGATCACATTATAGAGGTTTTCCTTTCCTGCAGTGTCTATACATGGGGAACATTACAGTAATCACACTGGCATGGCATGACCTGCAATATTCACCAACAGGAACCATCCCTGTTGAGTGCTGTAGTTTCCTGTGGGCAGATGCTTTGGCAAACACTCTCATTTCCTTGGACACACAGGAAAAGCCTGCAGGAATGAAAACATCTTAAAACAAGTCCCCAATGTGAATAAACACTTCAGATCAGCGGGAAGTCCTTTGACTCCTAAGATGTCAAGAACAGGGATAATTTAATTTTCCATAGTTCAGCTCACATGGACTTTATAAAAGGCATTAATAGTAAGTAAAAAATGTGTTTCCTGATGTTCACATACACTTGCTGTTCAATATTTTTATTATATACAAACAACTAGTGGTTATATGTATTTCCGGTCACCAAAGGGTTGTAGAGAAAAGGGGAAAAAAAAAAAAAATCACATCTTTTAAGCAATTATATTAAACCAAGGGTGTAAAACTCAATCTCATCGTGGACTATATCAGCGTTATAGTTGCCGTCAAGATAAATTAAAAAAAAAAAAAAAAAAAAAACTACTTTTTTTTTAGATTTTGCTATGTGCCTGAAAGCAAATACAATTGATGGTATTCCAATTTAGCTTCAAAAGTAAAAGCTGGATTTTTTTCTACATACTTACCTGTAAAATACATTTCTTGGAGTACATCACGGGACACAGAGAAGGCTATTCATGACTATGTGGGATGTCCCAAAGCAATAAGAAATTTGAAGGGAGGGTGACACCATGATAGCCACCGTCAACAATCCCTCAGGACCTACTCAGCTGTCCGTAAAACACTGTGGCCAAAGGCAGAATCCTCTGTGGCTCTGACATCCTCTTGGTAGAACCTTGTGAATGTGTGAACCGAAGACCATGTAGCGGCCTTGCAAACCTAAGCCACCGACGCCTGATGGCAGATTGCCCAAGATGCCCCCACTCTCCTGGGTAGAGTATTCCTTCACCTGAAAGGGAGGGACCTTACCTTTCAAACCATAGACTTAAATGATCAATTGGCAGATCCAATGTGAAATAGTTGCCTTGGACGCTGCCTGCCCTTTCCTAGGATCCTCAGGCAGCAGGAACAGAGCATCCGACCTCCTGACCTGTGCCGTCACCTTCAAGAAGACCCTTACAGCTCGTAGCACATCCAAAGTATGCAGAGATCTTTCTCTTGCTGACTGAGGCCTAGGGAAGAATGAAGGCAAAATGATGTCCTGATTGAGATGAAAACTAGAAACCACCTTTGGTAAATAAAAAAAAAAAAGTTGGTTGGGGTTGCAACACCACCTTATCTTGACGCAAAATCAGAAATGGTTCTCTGCAAGAAAGAACTGCCAGCTCCAACACCCTTTTCACAGAAGTGATTGCCACTGGTTTCTGCAAAACCTCCAAAACCAAAGTTCAGGTCCCAAGTTAACCTGCCAGGAGGAGCAATACGCATTACCCCTTTTAAAAAAAAAGTGCAAACCAGAGAGTGAGACGCAATGGGCCTCTGAAAAAAAAAAAAACAGCTAATGCTGAAACCTGGCCCTTAATGGTACCAACAGCCAATTTCTTTTCCAACCCTGATTGAAGAAACGACAGAATCCTACCAATCACATATTTTCATGGGTGCCATTTTCGGACCTCACACCAGGAATTGTAAGCCTTCCAAGTTCTGTAATAAATTTTCTTAGAGACTAGCTTTCTAGCGCTCAACATAATGGGGATGGTGGAATCAGATACCCCCGTCCTTCAGGATCTGGGGTCTCAATAGCCATGCCATCAAATTTACCAACCGTAAAGCTGGGTGCAATATAGGTCCTTGAGCCAGCAGGCCTGGCTGGCACAGCAGAGACCACAGACTGTCCACTACCAGTCTCACTATGTCTGCATACTAGGCCCTTCTGAACCAGGCTGGGGCAATCAGTATCACAGGAACGGATTCCACCCGAATCCTGCGTAAGAGTCGAGACAGCAGCTGATTTAGAGGAAAAGCATAAATCAGTGAAAACTGGTTACAAGAAATCACTAAGGCATCTAACCCTGCCGCACGAGGGTCCCTTACCCTGGACACAAAATGATCGACTTGGTTTTTGAACCTGGATGCCAACAGATCTACATCCGGGTAACCCCCAACACGGGCAGATTGATGTGAAAACCTTGGGATGCAAAGCCCACTCCCCTGGAACCAAAAGTCGGTAACTGAGATGGTTCACCTGCCAATTCTCCACAGCCGGAATGAATATTGCTGATAAACCTGAAACATATCTTTCTACCCAGATCAGAATGTAATTTACCTCTTCCTGAGTTCTTTGACTCCTAGTACCGCCCTGGTGGTTGATGTATGCCACTACTGTGGCATTTTTGCACTGAACTCTCACTGGCCAACCTGAAGCCTGGACGTCCAATACCCCAGGGCAAGCCATACTGTCCGAAGTTTCAGGACATTGATGGGAAGTATCCTCTCCCATGGAAGCCATGTTCCCTGAACTGTGGCCTCCTGCAGAACAGCCCCCCAATCTGAGAGGCTGGCATCGGTGGTTACCAATTTCCATATCACCAGCCGAAAGGATCTCCCTTTCACCAAATTCCGAGACACCAACCACTAATTCAGGCTTCAAAGTGCTTTTGGAAACAGATATATGACAATCCAGGGCTGGAATCTGTTTGTTCCAAACAGCCAGAATATTTCTTTGCAGAGGTCTAGAGTGGAACTGAGCATAGGGAATTGCCTCGGACGAAGACACCATCTTTCCCAGCAACCTCATACAAAGGCAAACTGAAGGATACCTCTTGTCCCTTAAAGTGCAGACCTGTTCTTTCAGAGTGCAGCATTTGCCTGGAGTCAGAAATACCTTTGCCTGAACAGAGTCTAGAACCATCCCCAAATATTCCAGGCTCTGTATTGGCTCCAAGGCCAACCTCTCAAAGTTGAGCACCCAGCCCAGTCGTTTCAAGATCAGAACCGTAAAAGCCACATCCTGCTTCAAACCTAGCACAGACTGACCCCTGAGCAATAGATTGTCTAGATATCCTATGATCAATATCCCCTGAGGTCTGAGTAGCCCCAATACTGAAGCCAGAACTTTTGTAAACACTCAAGGAGATGTGGCCAGACCAAAAGAAAGTGCTACAAACTGAAAATGCTGAACCCCTACTTCAAAATGCAGAAATCTTTGATGAGCGAGAAATATTGGCATGTGCAGGTAAAGCATCCTTGATGTCGATAGATGCTCCTTCCCGCAAAGAGGCCACTAACGACCGAACGGATTACATACGAAAAGACTGGACATTTAGAAACCGGTTTAGACTCATGAAGTCCAAAATGGGCCTCACATCCCCATTTGGCTTTGGGACTGGGAACAGGTTTGAATAAAATCCTTGATCTCTTTTGTCCACTGGAACCTCTGTGATCACCCCCTAGGAGAATAGGTTTTTTTTCGAGCGCCTGTAAAAGCCTTCTTCTTTTCTCCAGATTTGTTTGTATGCTTGACCTTAAAAACCAGCATGGGGGGGAAAAACCCGAAACTCCAGCCTGTACGCTAGCGAAATTGTGGAAACTACCCACATGTCTTGGATTACAGCCTTCCAGGCTGTTACAAAATCCAAAAGCCTTCCCCCCACCAGAATGAGTGGGGGCGCCCCTTGGATCTGTTTTGGCTGACTTTTGCACCCAGGGCCTCCTTGGATTCTGACTATGAGTTCTACCTGTAGAGGCTGCCGCCTGTGTTTGGCGAAATGAATCTGGTAGCAAAGGGCTCAGC